ATACACGGTGGACACAGACACTGCCAACAGTGACGAGATCTTTTTCAGTAAGGTGAGTGTGACATCTGTTTCTTTGAGGACAAGTTGTTCTCAGGAGGCTGTGATTGACAGTGTAACCCTAATGACCTGCCTCCGAGTGCCACTGTGTGTTTATGTGCACGTGGGTGCATGCATGTGTGTATCCATGTGTCTGCCAGCAGTCTTACTCAAACTCACCGGTGTGAGCTTCCCGAGTTAACCACGGTGGCCCTGTTAAGAACCTTGACCAATCAATCAGCTAGCAAAATGCTTGCATCATCCATGCTCATCAGTGGGACAGTGGAAGGTCTGATGGGTGTGTAGCTGAAGCTGCAGGACAGTAGAGGAAGTGAGGCCAGGAGAGGGGAAGAAGATAGTTAATGGAGAGAAGACAATGAGCAGGAAAAAGAGAAGAAAGAAGAAAAAAACAGAGAGAAATGAAAGATTAGATGTACTGTATTACAGAAGGTGAGAAGATCCCATTGTATTTTTGTAGATTATTCAAAAAGTGCCTCATATTTAGGGAGGCCCTTCACCGTAGTAACCTACTCTCTATTCCATTCCTACCACTCCTCACTGGCATCTCTTACCCTTAACATAATGCGTGCAACCAGAATTCAAACAAGACCATTCTCGTGTATACAACAACCCGCCGTCCCTCCACCTCATCCACTTCAATGTCAAAGCCTGGCGAGTGGGTCTTAATGAGTGCAGGCTGCAGATGAAAGGCTGGTTGGAGACACACAGATTGATTGATGACTGAGGGTCTTTAATCAGTGGCTGAGCTCCAAACAAGTTGTACAACAGAGGCAAGTAAGCGGCGGCCTGAACCAGGGGCTCAGCCCTGACCCACAGGGCACACAGGGCAGCGACATAGAGCGTGTATGTGTGTGGCTGGGTAACACATAAAACTTAACACTGACAGACTGATAAGTATGTGTGACAATAAAAAAGGGTATATACATTTGTGGGTTTGTAGTTGACCGACTCACAGGCCAAGGCATATTACTTATGTGTGTATGTGCACAAGGGTGGCCTGCATATCAATCCACAGAAACAAGTTCTCAGCTGTGTAGTATCTGTCCTCGGACAGACTGTTTTCTGATCCAGGGTCAGTATTGTATTCCCTCCTCTCTGGCAGAGATTTTGAAGTTCATGGAGGTAAACTAATCTCCAGTCAACAGTTAAAATAAAGTTCTCCACTGAGCAGGTGCCTCAGGAGGGAAATCAATCACGATGAATCGCAGATAATGATCACAGTATAGATTGGTTATTGAGCTCTACAGTGTCTTCTGTTTTTTTCCCTCCTGCTTCGGTGTTTATCTTGTTTGCGTTCTAATGCTCTTCCTCTCATTTTCTCATTTACTCCCTTCCCCCCACCAAGAAAATGACATGGAAGTCCAGACAGGCAGATGTGGACACTTGCAGAATGAAGGGGAAACATAAGGTAGAGAAAAAACACAACCTCTGTGCTTACACCTTAA